GAGGATGGACATCAGAAGAAGAAAACAGGAAACGACCTAGGAACCTGCAACAGAGGGCCTCTGAAAGGCTCTGCCCTACAGACTATCAAAGCAGACGCTGAGACTTATGGCCAACTGTTGGGCAGAGTACATGGAATCTTATATAAGAAGTGGGAAATAATAAGATCTGGAGAGGACAGGAACTCCACAAGGAGAGCAACAGAACCAGAAAATTTGAACACAGGGGTATTCCCAAAGACTCATACTCCAACCAGTACCAGGTATGGAGATAACCTAGAACCCCTGCACAGATGTAGCCCATGGCAGTTTAGTGTCCAGGTGGGTTACATGGTAATGGGAAGAGGGACTGCCTCTGACATAAACTGAGTGGCCTGCTCTTTGATCTCCTCCCCCTGGTGGGGGCGGGAGCAGCCTTACCAGGCCACAGAAGATGACCATGCAGCCACTCCTGATGTGATCTGATAGACTAAGATCAGAAGAAAGGAGAGGAGGACCTCCCCTATCAGTGGACTTGGGGAGGGGCATGTGTGAAGAAGGTGGAGGGAGGGTGGGACCGGGAAGGGAGGAGAAAAGGGCTTATGGGGGGATACAAAGTGAATAAAATATGATTAATAAAATAAAATTAAAAAAATAAAAAATAAAAAGACTTAAAAAAAAAGAAAGAAAAATAATAATCTTTAAACATATTCTAGAAGCAGAAGGACTCCATCAAATGCTTGGGCTTTGCAGTTAGTTTGGGAGTAAATTCTGATTTTTCATCCTATAGACTTTGTCTTGCTTTCTTCTCAAGAATCTTTAGTTTCTCTATTTGCCAATTTAACGAGGCTCAAAACTATGAATGGCAAAACACATATCCCAAAGTGCCTAGTACTCAGTAAGAATCAATTTAAGACATACTATTCTCTTTTCTCCCCCTAGGAGAGTATAAGAGCATAGTAACATCTACTGGAAATAGATTTGGTTCCTGTATCCCACTGGGCTAAATAAAGCTTACCCCACCATATTTCAGGCAAAGCTCCTGAAATGAATTGGTTTATCCCCAGTAAACATGAAACTTTTTTGAGCAAGTTTTAAAGACACTCTAAGAATGGAGAAAGGGGAGGCTACACAGAATTTGGAGTAAGGTACCCTATGACGCAGCCGATAGGATGAGGCTGCATATTGCGTGTTTGTTTTGCTGCTTTAAAATTATTAATTTAATTATTTTATTAAACACAAAATAATGTGATTCTTATGTATCACTGTACCTTGATATTGAGCTCTCCTACCACATAACTCCACTTTTTATGCCCTTCAGTGTTTGCCTTATAGAGCAAACAAAACAACAGGAGCCCCAACATTTGTTATGTACACATTTACAGGTGTTATGTCTTCTTGATGAACTAGTCTTTTATTAATATGTATTTAATTCTTTATCACTCATGACTAATATTTGCTTGAAGCCTAATTTATCAGATTTTGAAAAGCCATCTTGACTTTTGTTAGTGATGTGCACTGACTACCATCCTTTAAGTCTTTGTCTTTATGTGTCTTTGCTGCTTGGGTCTCTTTATTGGGGACAACAGATGGTGTGTTACTGTTTTATAATCCAAGCAATTACTCTGTGTCCTTTAACTGGAGATTTAAGAGCAAATGCTTTATATTTAGAGTTATTATAGAAAGAAGTTTGCTGATTCCTGTAATTTTGTTGGTTATTTCCTGAGTTGATCTGATTGATATAGTAGTCTTTTCTTTCTTCCTAATTACCATCAGGACTTGCTGCTTTGCTGGGTTTGAAGTGATTCTTTCCTAATTTTTCTTCCTTCATCTTTACCTCTCCTTCAGCTTCCTCTTTCCTGTTTGCTTAGGTTTGATGTATTGATCATATCTCAGAGTTGTGGGAAGTTGTGCTCGTGCTTATTTATTCATTTATCTTTCTTTGTGAAACTATGAGTGTAGTTTTACTTTATATCAGAAATACGTGATACACTTTGTTCTGCTTGATCTAGTATATTGGTGATGTTTTGGATATGCTTTATTTCATTCATTCAGTTCATTGGTTATTTATTATTTTTTTTTGCTTTAGGAGTTGCTGTTTATTTATTTTTTTATCAGAATCTCAGTTTCTTTGCTGACAGAAAAATGCTTTAAATTTATTGAAGTTTACGTAGGAGGAAAGAAGAAATGTTTGAAAGAAAAGGAAAGGTACTGGTAAAGGGAAAGGGTAAAAAAAATGAGGAGCAGAAGACAGGAGAATAGTTGAAGAAAGATGCATAAACTCAAAGTAGAGATTTGTGGGAAAGAGAGGAGGGACAAAGGGGTTAGTAAGGAAATGGGAGGAGTGGGAATCTCACTAGGCCTTATATACATGTGTGAAACTGTCAAGGAACAAATTTACTTAATTAATGAAAGAAAGATTTAAAATAAGTCAGATTCCCTAGACTTACCTATACCCTTTTTCATATCACAGAAAATTATTCAAAGATAAATGATTATATATTTTAAATCCAGATGGGTTCTATATGAAACAGAATGTTTCTCCCTAATAGCTGGAATATTTTAAATGTTGTCTTTAGTAGTTCTTTGGGAATTTTGTACAATGAGTTTTGGCCACATTCACAATGCCCCCCAACTCCTTCCAGATTTGCTCAGTTTCTCTACCTATACAGGTTTTTGTTCATGTTCTTTCCCTGCTCCCAGAAAGTCCAACTTGAGTTTTCATATATTCTTGGATGTGTGGTCTTCTGCCAGAATGTGATCAAATTACCAGTAGCAATACTCTTAACAAAAACTGACTCTCCCCCCCCCCCACGCACACCCCAGAAGCTTTCAATTGCCAATAGGTGTTTGGATCGGACTAAGATTTCATGTCTACCCTCTTTCTCCATGTGGGGGCTTGGTATGGCTTGACCTTGACCATTGTTGTACATCAGTGCACAGATGCCTTGTTGTGTCTGGAGAACACCATTTCCTTGGATTCACTGACCACCTCTCCTCTTACAGTCTTCTTGTTTGATCTTCCACAAACATCCCTGAACCCTGAGAGGAGAGAATGTAACCTAGATGATGCATTAGGGTTGAACGTTCTTCAGGTTATTTTCTTCATCATGGCCAGTTGTGACTCACTGTATTAGTGACCAAGTACCTCGAACAGAAGCTTCTTCGATGAGGGTGGAGAGATGCATTAATCTATAGGTGTGACAGTAAGTCATTAGATCGGTTAGTATGTCCATCCAGCACAATAACAGTAGTGGGTTGTCCGCTGTGTCCTGTCTAGCCACAGGTTCTTGGTCCAACGGTGGCACCACGTATGGGTCTCCTTATGTGGATTGAGACTTAGATCCAATAAGGAGGTGGTGGAAACTTCCATGATATGCGTGGCACTGTTGCACTGTAGGCCTGTCTGGCCAGGCCAGTGGTTACTGTAGCATCCAGAGTCCACAGCTGGGTAATATTGATAAGTGGTTTTATTTGTGTACATGAGTGTGTTGTCGGTCCATGGTGGCTGGAGGAGGGCATCAGATACCTTGGTGCTGGAGTTAAAGGCAATTGTGAGGTGCCTGAAATAGCTGCTGGGAACAGAGCCTGGGTCTTCTGCAGTAATACTTGCCCTTAACTCCTTATCTCTGGCCCCATACTTGGTATTTTAACTACTTGTAATCTAATATTTGTTATGAGACTTAGTCTTGTGAATCCAACTTCCCCAGAGTATAATATCAACATAATGGAGTGCTTCTTCTTGCCGTCCTGCTAGGCAGAGGGGTGGTTGGTTGAAGGTAGAGCTGCATCTCTGATCCTGCTCAAGCTGGTGCTGTACCTGGAGTGGTCTGAACTGCTCGGGGCTGCAGCCGCCTGTCTTTGCAGACCCGGGGTACCTCTAAGCATCCTTAGCTTTTCAGCTGTCTCTCACATGAGACTGCACAGCGTGTCCATCTGTGTGGCTAAGGTCTAAGCCACGGGGTGTTTACCAGCTGTGCTGTGTGTGAGCAGAAGCAGGTAGATGACTGAGCTGTTGCGGTGTGACTTGTGCTATACAGCTTTCCGATCCTGCTCAGTACTGAACACCCTGCAGGAGGGAGAAGGTTGCCAAGGGTGATCATGGAGTCTGAGCCTTGTGCTATCAGTTATTTTGCTCACTGCCAATGAAGGCATTGCCATCAAAAAGGCAGGACCACAACCCCAGAATCCTTCACCAATGAGCCTCCTGCTCCCTGAGTCTCCTGTTTGTGTCTAGCCCTCGCTGAATCTGTTACTGCCACTTGCCACCCACTTTTTCCTAGAGGCGATGGCAGGTTCTAGAGGCGATGGCAGGTTAATTCCAGGATCTTTGACTTATCAGGCTCCTGGGATGCTCTTTAATAGAGGACTCCTCTCAGAATGGCAAGTAGGCCACAGACTTTTCAAACATAAGCTGACCCACACAGGAAGCCACTGTCGCAGCAGATCCCCCCACACACACACACTACATTCAACACTTCTGAGGACTGTGGGTTAGACTGCCAGTGTCTTCACCAAAGCCAGTGCCTTACAGGCATGGCTGAGAGCTGGGAGGCGGGTGTTGTGTGCTCTTGTCTCCGCATTGCCCGAGTGTTTCTCTCTTCTCAGCTGGCTGCTCTGTCCCACTCTGCGATTTCTGATATTCTTTCTCTCTTTGGAAGAGAGTGAAATCTCTTCTTCTTTATGCTTTACAGAAAGGCAGCTTCTACTCTGCCAGCTTACCCCAGAAGTCTATTTAGTTATTTTGGAAGATTCTGCGTCTTTCATTTAGTCTCATTCGACTGAAGACTCAGTTGGAGAGTTTGTGGATGTTGTGTGTCATCAATGCTTTTGTTCCCAGGACTCTCAATTCACAGGATACAAAGATTTAAGATCCAATATGAAGTTATTCATATTATTGTTTTCAGACATATTTTAAAGATGTTTAGAATGATTTTAGATATCAGCATGTTAAAAACATATATTGAAAATATCCATCATAGACATCAATTTTATAATTGTTTTTTCTTCTTTTCCAATTTCAGGGTCAGCCTGGTCCTCAGGTAAGTGATCTCTTTCCTGACTAATTGACCCCAATTTAGGATTTTCCTAGTGGGGATGTTTTCCTTCAATTGTTTTCAAAGAATTGGAAAAAAAAAAAAAAGGAAAAACCTGGAAATTGTGACAGTACCCAAAAGGCCAGCTGTTTTCCAGGAGTGAAGCTGGGAGACACTTCAGGGTTGAGGGACTCACTTCACCTGCTGGGCCAGATGGCAAGTTACGGCGTAAGGTAGCCTCCTTCCCTCCCACAGAACAAGACTCTTAACTGACCCAAGCCAATGCCCAAGCTCTTCTGGGCATGGCGACTTGTTCACGTGGGCTGGTTTGCCTCAGATGCTGATTAATCAAGTCCTAACGCAGACTGCGAGCCCACAGACTCATTATTTACACTGAGGTATCCCGCTAGCTGCTTCCGATTTGATGTAGTCGGGCACTGACTTTGTTCTCCAACTGCCGCAGACATGATTTATAAGTAAGCACGAATGCAGCCCACAGGCAGTCTTTTGAACTCTAAATCATACTGAAGGAAGAAAAAAAAACATTTTTAAGAGGTGGGGAACACATACAAAGCTAGAATTATAGAAATGAAGCAAGCTCCTATCAGTAGTGTAGCAAATTCAAACTCAAAAGCCTCCGTACTCCTCGGTAGCAGGATGCTATCGAGAGGAGTTGGGCGTTAAAGAGGATGCTTTCCTTGAACACTGTAACCCCTGTAAGCGATGCAATCACTTGCTGTGTTCCAGTCCATCTTCTTTCCCTGTGATGTGCTGAACCCCGCTTCTGCCCTAGATTGTTCCCTGATAAGCCATTTTATGATAACCTTGTAGTCGGTGTCAGGAGTTACTTCTTATAGGTTAGTCTTCATTCTATACGGTATGAACCTAGTTACTCTTAGCTCTAGCTAGAAGGTTGAGTAATAATACAAGCAGAAAACCACACTTACTGCAGTACAGTCCTCCTTTCACATTAACCTGGAAGAAAAGTTAGGCTCTTTTTTTGGTACCTTGAAGTTCTTTATTTTTGACAGTATTGTCATTATTATCATCATCATTATTTACAATTTATTTACTTTGTATCCCAGTTGTAGCCCCCTCCCTCATCTCCTTTCTGGCCCACCCTCCCTCCTTCTTACCCCCTATCTCCTCCCTAGTCCATTGATAGGGGAGGTCCTCCTCCCCTGCTGTCTGATAGGCCCTAGTCTATCAGATCTCTCTCATTTATTTATTTTAATTTATATTGGAGAGGAGAATGCCCTCATTATTGGTAGCTTTTCCTCGTGTAGCCCAAGTCAGTTCAAGTTAACAGAGCCCTGACCTCAAGCTACACTGCAGAGCAATAGGAATGAAACCTGCATGGTACTGGCATAGACCTAGATCAATGGAATCAAATCAAAGACTCAGAAATAGACCCCCACACCTATGCATACCTGATTTTTGATAAGGAGCCAAAACCATACAATGGAAAAAAAGACGGCATCTTCAAAAAATGGTACAGGTCTAACTGGAGGTCTACATGTAGGAAAATGCAAATAGATCCATATTATCACCCTGCCCAAAACTCAAATGTGAAGTTTCTTAAATGCCCCAGACCCAGGACTTCTGAGGATGACTTTGACCCCGCCTGTGAGAATTGCCTGTGCCTGTATGACCTCAAGTTCTAGCAACCATGTGATGTTTAAGGCACCCTGTTTATGGCACCTTGCAGATAACATGGGATCTGAACCTTGTTCAACATATGGTCCTAGTGTGTTGGGTTTCTGTCCAGATGCTGGATTCTCTGTCCTTGTTGAATCATTTACTGACTCCCTCCCTTACTTTCTTTCTATGTTGCTCTTCTTGTCCCGGGTCTCCCTCTGTTTCTTCCTCCTGCCTGTTGTTAAAGTCAGGGCTACGGTCCTGTAAACACAATAGCACTGCTAATGTCAGGTGGGATGACTAAATCCCTTTAGCTTACAGCATACCTGGTAAGATTTTAGATTTCTCCTGCATATGTCCCCATTGCAGTTCTTCACACTGGTGCTATGGGGAGCAAGTGAGCTGCGGGGAGCAAGTCAACAGGGTGAATATTTGGCTTTCCTCTGACAAATGGAGGCGCTGAAGGCTGGGCTGAGAGAAATAAGTGGGGATCCTATTACCTATGTTGACCAGATAAATTTTTCTACCATGGCTTTGATAATGTCCCTTTCCTGATGCCAAACATTTGAATCTTAATGCGTTCTCTGTCTAGAGTGTGACAGAGCCTCCTGATTTGGCCTGTTGTCTCACCTTACACTGATTTTCATTTATGTTCTTCATGAACCCTATGCTTTACCTAGACCAAATTGAACCATTTACATTTTCTATTCTAAGTGGTTGCTTTTTTTTTCTCCTTTCTTGGGACTCCTTCCTCTTAAACCTCATGTTCACATATCCAAACACAAGATAATTTTCTTCTTTACTGAAGAGATTTTCTTCCTTTCTCAGATTCCCACAAAAAGTTATCTATGCAGCTTATTACAGTATATTGTGCTTAAAGGAGAGAGCATGGACTTGCAGTTAGACAGGGTACAAGTCAGATCCAGGCTGTGTCATTCTTAGTCTCAGCCTCCTGTATGAATTACTTCTTCACTGTAGTAGCACTATCCACATGTGTAAGACAGTGTCCTCTGTTAATACATGTTGTAAAAGTTAAAGTGTCGTACATAAAATAGCTCATGTGACACCTGTACATGGTAAGCACTCAGGAAAAAATGAATTCTGTTATTCTCCTTTGGGTCATTGTAGTTATTTCTAATCATTTTTGTCTCTCATTTTTTTTTTGTTAAAAATATTGCTATGTTTTATGTGTATGGTATTTTACCTGCGTATGTATCTGTATACCACTTGCATTTCTGGTGCCCGTGGAGAGCAGAAGAGGGTGTCAGAGCCACAGTTACAGATGGTTATCGTCTAACACATGGGTCTTGGGAATTGAACTCTGTTCCTCCGGAAGAGCAGCCAGTGCTCTTAAAGACTAGGCCATTTCTCCAGCCTTCTTTTCCGTAACAGACTTTTTTTTTTTTTTAATCTTCAATGCAGGAACTGTGCTTTCATTCATCTTTACTTTCCTCCACATCTAACTTACTACATCACATAGAGTAATTTAATTGTAGGGTTCAATTTTGGTTTTGATTTTCACAATCAAACTATTCTTGCCTAAACATTAGTACTCTTCCACAAATAAATAATTTAACACAAATGGCATATACCAGTTGCTTTGAAAATATTTTCAGGACTCTATCTTGTCCTCTTCACAAAATACAAAGAACTTTTCTTTAGCCCAGATATCCTTCACTGTCTTTAGAAGTAAGCAAATAACCCTCTCATACTAAGGCCATTTTCTTGCCTATCATTTTTTGTTGTTGTTTTGAGTCTAAGAGCCCTCTTCATAATTCTTCTTTGGAGTTGCATGTGAACATAAAGTAGCTGTAATTCCCTTAGGAATTTTGAGCACTAAAGTGGTGTGCATGTTGTAATTCTGTATTACCCAGTGAGAAAAAAATGTAAGAGCAAACCACAAGCAAATTCCATCAGACAACTGCACAGGGAGGCGCGCAGCTTCCATTTGTGTTTGCAGATACACTTGGAAAGAAGTTGAAGATGTCGCTATGCCCTCTTCCCCTAAGTACCCATTTGCTTCTTTTCTTTGTTCTAATACTATCATTGTCGTTTCTCAAGGCTTTATGAAACCGTAAACTCAAGCTGTGTATATGCACTGTAAAGAGTTCTTCTGGGGTAAAATATTGTACTGTGGGGCAGTATTGAGCTTTCTAGTCATATGTTCTAAATTACATACGAAGCTCCTTCTAACCTAACACTTTAGCAATTCCCATATTTCATATTTGTGTTTCAGTCCAGCTTTTTCCAGATTCACATAGTCTGATTTGGGGGCAGAAGGAGGGCACATGCATTCTCTAAGAAATTTGAAAAATGTGTGCATGCCTTTGTGCACACGGGTGTGTAGAAAGCCCCGGGTTCACTCACTGCTATGTCAAACCAGCCATGTATCATCACCTGGATAAACTCAATAGTCTTACAAAGTATATTTTATTGTTATTATAAAACAGTGAGAATGATAATACAAGCCCGAATGCTTTAGAGTTTGGGGAATTTAATTAAGTGTCATTGGCATTGTGGCATGAAGGACTCCATTGTACTCCAGATGGGTTGTATTATTAAGAGCCTATATGGTATAACTATTTCTTTATTTTACTGTAATCCATATGTCTTTATTTCACATGCACATTCATGTATTTAAATAGTGTAGAATATAGAATTATTTCCAACTAAATTAATTAAAGAGCTTCCATTGCCAACTTTATGCTGTATTTCCTAAGAAATATATTACCTCTCATTTCACCTGAATTAATGTGGGTAACCTGTAGTGTTCCATGAATAATTAAGCTGACTGTCTGTTACTTTATCTCATGGAAGCTGTTACCCTTGTTTTTTTTTTTTTTTTATTCTCAGAGCCCCTTGTTTTTTTTAATCCCAGTCTCTCCATACAGTGTTGATAGAAAACGCATAATACAATTTTTGTCTAGTAGCAAGGACTGAACGCAAAGCGCTGCCCACGCTGGTCAGATGCTCTGCCACTGAGCTCTACCCCAAGCCCCTCCGTAAACTCTGCTAAATACTGAACTGCCATGGGCTACATCTGTGTAAGGGTCTTAGGTTATCTCCATGCATAGTCCTTGGTTGGAATATCAGTCTCAGGAAAGACCTCTGTGCTCAGATTTTTTTGGTTCTGTTGCTCTCTTTATGGAGTTCCTGTCCTCTCCAGATCTTACTATTTCCCACTTCTTTCCTAAGATTCCCTGCACTCTGCCCAAAGGTTGTCCATAAGTCTCAGTATCTACATTGATAGTCTACAGAGCAGAGATTTTCAGAGGTCCTCTGTGTCAGGCTCCTGACTTGTTCCCTCTTTTCTCCTTCTGATGTCCAGCCTCTTTGCCTTTCTGGATAGGAATTGAGCATTTTAGCAA